TTATCATACTGCTTACTGCGCTTTGAAGTATTTCCTGAAAGGTAGAGAGTTGCTGCTTTTTCCGGGTGATCATGAAGCTGCTCATCGGATACCTTCAAAGCCATTGCAGTTTCCTCTTGAATACGTCTGTTTTCTTTAAAATCTCTTTTACTTGAAAGGAAGCGAGCATTGCTGTTGTGAAAATAAACTTCTGATAACGGTTTTGCCGCAAATGCAGCATCATTTGCCACACGAATTTGTTCCGCTTCTTCCATGACCTCTTGGTACTTCTCTTGCTCTCCTTTCCTCTTGTACTCGTTGCCAAGAAGACACAAAAGATCTACTGCACACACTGGTTGGATTCTTGAGTCAAATGTTTTCGATAACCTTTCCAGGACCTCTGTGTAAAACCTTGGATGAAGACATCTTTCCAAATACATGCACTTTTGAGGAAGACTGTCCAGGAACGGTTCACTGTCGCACACGATCTCTTTGTCCTGTTTTTCCCTTCCTTGGGCGTAGAATGTGAGAAAATACTCGAATTTGTACTTGTCCTCTTGAAACGATACAAGGGCATCTCTACAGTTGTCCTTACTCCAGTAAATATCAGCATTGTTCGAGAGGCGAGACATGAAGTGGACACAGGCCAACTTTTCGCCCATTGCCAAGAGGTTGGCATACTCATGATCTTGACTAATCTTTCTGGCATAAGCATGAATGAGTGGATGTATCTGATACCTGCGGGAATACAGCTTCTCCACAAGAGATCTGTTCTTCAAGGAGCGAAGGACGGAAATAGGTAAAGTGCCGATGCTCGAACAGGGAGCCTTCATCACAGCTTTGGCAGCATCTGGATCAAACGAACCCTGGAACAAAGACAGGAGAATGAAAGCCTCTTGCTCGGGTTTCTTCAAAAGGTCAAACGAGGTCTTAATGGCCTTTTCTACAGATTCTTGGTCGTCCTCTAGAACTGCTAATGGTTCCTTCTCAAGGCTTTCTATGAGCGTTTCTTCAGAATAGTCTGAAAGCAACGATCCAACAATGCAAAGTGCCAAAGGAACACAACCACATAGATCGTTGGCGATGTAATCTGCCCTGGAAAGGTTCGGTGGAGCATCTTCATAGACTTGCACCCTAGAAATTAGGAGATCTCTCGCCTTTTCGGTGGACAAAGGGTCCAACCTGACTTCGCGGGACTGCAAGTTGGGATCCCCAAATGTTTTCCTTGCAGTTACGACAAATGTTACCTTTTGCCTTGATAACCTTCTTACGTCAGATAAAATGCTTATAAATAATGTTCGATCACTCGACTCGAGGACGCCATCGACATTGTCTAGAACAAATGTGACATTGTTTTGGACTCCTTTACTCCAGTCTTTAAGCCACTGCCCTGGGTTCTCTGTTACTTGCCTGCTGACTGCACCACACGAGTTGATCATTTCCACGGCCACCTCGTTGAAATTCGTCTTTGTTAGTAAACTACAAAACAGCACAGTTCTTTCCCTCTTTGGTTTTGCTAACTCATGAGCCACTCGTTTAGCCACAGTTGTCTTTCCAAATCCTGGTCCACCAGTGATCAGGACAACAGCGACTCCACTCTCAACCATATCTTTGACTTCCTTTATTTCTTGGTCACGGCCAAATATACTCTCTTCTGATATTTTGTCCGGTAAACAGCTGTGGGGGCTGAAAATCGTCGTGTCAATCTTTTCTCGTTCCTGCATCTCTTTCCATATCCCAGCTTGTTCTTTTAAACGCTGCCGCGTGTCGTGATCAATGGGATCGTTCTTTAGTGCCTCCATTTTCTCTACGTGTCTCTTCCGTTGAACATACATCTCAATTGTTTCTAAAGAAGATACTATCTCTTTCCACTTGTCCTCGAATTCAGCGTTTGGAATTCCGCTAGAGACGCTGTGACACAGCTCATTTCGGAAATATTTGATGCAAGAAATGTTTGCCGCGAGGCTATTATCATCTTNTTCTAGGACAGCCAATGGTTCCTTTTCAAGGCTTTCTATGAGCGTTTCTTCTGAATAGTCTGAAAGCAAGGATCCAACGATGCAAAGTGCTAAAGGAACACGACCACATAGATTTTTGGCGATGTAATCTACCCTGGAAAGATTCTGTGGAGTATCTTCATATACTTGCAGTCTAGATATAAGAAGATTTTTCGCCTGTTCGGTGGACAAAGGGTCCAATCTGACTTCGCGGGACAGCAAATCGGAATCCTCAAATGTTTTCCTTGCAGTTATGACAAATGTTACCCTTTGCCTTGATATCCTTCTAACGTCAGATAAGATGCTTATAAACGATGCTCGATCATTCGACTCAAGGACGCCATCAGCATTGTCGAGAACAAACGTGACAATGTTTTGAACCCCTTTGCTCCAGTCTTTCAGCCACTGCCCCGGATTCTCTGGTACTTGAGTGCTGATTGTACCACACGAGTTGATCATTTCCACGGCCACTTCATTGAAATTTGTCTTTGTTAGTAAACTACAAAACAGCACAGTTCTTTCCTTCTCTAATTTTGCTAACTCATGAGCCACTCGTTTAGCCACAGTTGTCTTTCCGAATCCTGGTCCACCAGTGATCAGGACAACAGGGTCTCCACTCTCAACCATATCTCTGACTTGCTTTATTTTTTGGTCACGGCCAAATATACTCTCTTCTGATATTTTGTCCGGTAAACAGCTGTCGGGGCTGAAAATCGTCGTGTCAATCTTTTCTCGTTCCTGCATCTCTTTCCATATCCCAGCTTGTTCTTTTAAACGCTGGGGCGTTTCGTGATCAATGGGATGGTTCTTTAGCGCCTCCATTTTCTCTACGTGTCTCTTCCGTTGAACATACATCTCAATTGTTTCTAAAGAAGATACTATCTCTTTCCACTTGTCCTCGAATTCAGCGTTTGGAATTCCGCTAGAGACGCTGTGACACAGCTCATTTCGGAAATATTTGATGCAAGAAATGTTTGCCGCGAGGCTATTATCATCTTCTGCAGGCTTATTGTGCCATCCGGTTGAAGGCGGCGTAAGGTGCCAAACTTCACGAAGCAAGAGATATAAAAGTGTAATGTCGAACTTTTCGGAGTCCGGTGGATCACCTGAGGCAGGAAACAACATTTTCCACTGGTTTTGAAATATTACACCTTTGGACCTCAGTTTTTGAAGCTTTGCCTTATTGTTGTTTAATACGACTTGTAATTTATCTAGTTGGTAGACAGAATGCAATAAACTGCGCAGCACGTGTGTTCCTCCATCAACCAGCAGTCGTAACAGCTTCGTGCCATTGGTTTTTTCCTCTGACACATCGTACACAGAAGAGCCAGACGAGACAGAAGAAGGGGCTGTGCTAGCCATTATCTTTGCTGTTTTAAACTCGAAGGAAGGTTTTGGTGGCAAAGTATTTATGGAAATGTCGTTTGTAACTCACTGATGCGTGCGTTTGTTAGACTCCTTATTAGTAGTCGTATCGTAAGGCAACGAACGGAATCGTCATCCTAAACAGACTAAAGAGCCTTTTCAGATCATTAACACTTGGCAAGAAGCCTAAAGTTCTAAGAAAAATGCGGTGGTCTAGTTTCCGAGAAAGATGGTTGTAAAATAGGTCAATTTGCATTTGCATGTCATACTAGTAGTATGATTAAGGTGTCACGCAAGGCTGGATATTCTAGATGATATTTTTTTAGGGAGCCTAATGTCACGGCTTGTTTAACATCAATTTGAGCTTACAAAATTTCGAGTTTACTATTGCAACTCTCACTAAATGCATGGAATAACTCTCCACTGTATGGGTGAAATTAATTTCACTTCTGTTAATTCAAACATATCCACGTCCATTGGAAAGAGAAAATCTTTTAAGGGTGGAACTTGGGGTGTTATAAAGATATTCAAAAGATTGGCAGATTTGTGGAATACGATACATTCCTGCGGTTTTTCTAAGAACCCTCAAAAAAAAAAAAAGAAGTTGATATAATATGAACGTGACGGTGTCGAAAGAATCAAAAACATATATTGGCCTGTTCACTTACCACGAAGTATCACCTCAATTTTCAATAGTCCGTGGGGAAGAGTACTGCAATGGCCACTGATTTTTTCGAAGGCTCGAGTTTGAGTTCAATCTGTCAATGAACACTATATTTTACCACACTGGCAATGATCAAAATGATCGTGGCCTTTTGTATGGTACCATTTCACCCAAGAAAATGAGAGGGGCTATAGCTTTTTAATTTAATTCTCACAACATTACTAGAGAGCAATTTCCGAGAAATGTTTTAGATTAAGGAGCTTTCATCGCGTTTTCCAGAAAAAATATCGCCTCAAGGTGGTTATGCTTGATTTAAAGTCACATCAAGGCACGATATGAAGTCACCTCTTTAATCAAGTGTTATCCAAGAAATCACTAGATATGCTCTCAAAATTCTCTTTCAGAAAATGTCGCCATAAATCGAAGCATATTTAGTCAAGTTCAACTCCTCAACACTCTTGGAAGCTAATGTAACCATAATATGATTTGTCTGATTGAGCGGGGGTAGATTTTTAGGCGCATCAGTGATCACGCCAAACTGTTCTTGATTTCGACAGCTACGACGGTGGTAAAAGCTCAAGCTTGTATCTGTTACTTTTCGCCATCTTTTGCCAAACACTCATAATAGTTTGAGGCCGCATAACGATTTTTGTGTGGTCATGTTTTGGCAAATTAGTTCTAGAGATTGGATAAACGTTTCATACACTGGAGTTCTCTAGTCAAATTTTCCCAACAAAATTGTGTAGTCATTAACCGCAAAAAGCTAAAGTTTTAAACATTTACAATTTCTCTTGTTTACCTGACTAACGAGCATCTTTTTTTCAGCTTGTCAGACTGATATGTAATAAACAAATTGTACCGCTATCGAAAGTACGACCAACAGCTTCATGCTCGCGAGTTGTCAATGACACTACTCATCTCTCCTTCCTCGTTCTTCCTTTGTTTCGGTCGTTTTGCAGAAAACCAAAAATCACATAGTTCATTAAGTTATTTCTTGTTACCACCAACTTTTCTTAGTCCCCTTCTCGAGGAGATTCAGCCTTGAAATTTTTGCGTGAATGTTTGTCATGATGTTCAGTTCGGCCGGAAATGTTTCCCTGAAATTTACGAATAACACATTATATATTAGGATTCGCACGTTGATGACTTATCGTATAGGTGAATTCTCATTTCCGCTGGGCATGAAAAATATAACCAAATAAACTTACAAGGGTAAAATGAAGGCGCACAATAAGGACGTCTATCACAGAAATATCATGTTTATTACTAGACACTCATACTGGGGACATTCACAATGAAGTGTCCGGAAGCAATCACACTAAAAAATGATGTGCAACATTTGTTAGGATAAGATAGGGCCTAAAATACTAATGTTTCATTTCACGAATAATTTTTTAGTTGATGTTGATAAAAAAAGTTTTAATTTATAAACTGCAAAATATGCTTTAGAAAACGTGTTCTATAAAGGATCTCTGTACTATTCATAGAGTGTGGCCGGCCATCTACATTAACCCCAACCGGATAAGTGTTCGGAAACCTCTCTCAATAGTCGACAGAGAATACAAATTAATCTTCATGACGACGTGATGAGTGATTGGAAAATCAAACTTGTACTTACTTGGAAACTCAGCCTCGGGGAAGATCTCCGGATATCGATTCATAAATTTCCGAATTATGTGTTTGTTTCCTATCTTGTCTGTTGTTAGTCCTAGCCTTTTGTGCATCAACAGTCCTTGAAGCATTGCCCTTTTTGCCCTCTCCACTTTACCCATTTTCTCGTGTAATAAGCCCAGGGAAGTCTTAATCGAGACTTTCCAAGTGTGATTTATCTGAAATTCTCGCTCTGCAACCTGTTCTGCTTTCGTGAATAAAGCCATTGCCGCATCAAAGTTGCCAATTTCCATATGGCAACTTGCAAAGTTCTTTAGTGGCAAGATACTTTCCTTGCTTCCACCCACTCCTAAGTGATCAAACATTTCCATAGCCGCTTCCTAATACTTAAGGCAAAGTTTTAAGTCGGTTACAGATTGATTGAGAGAGAGAGAGCAATAAGTCTGCAACAGCTTTCAGGGCTTCAGCAGTTATAAAATGTTTACCAAGGACCTGTTTAGAGAGTCTTAACGCCTTTGTTAATCTTTCTTTGGCTAATTCGCGATCCCAGAGGTGTTGTGCAATTATTCCTGTGAGGAGAAGAGTTGCGGCTGTCTCTGGATGACGATCGCCCAAACTTGCATGGCAGACATTTAAAGCAATTTGATTCTCTTGCTCAATGTTTTCCTTTTCACTGATATCTTTTTTATTGGAAAGGAAGCGTGCGTAACTGTTATGAAAGTAGACCTTTGCTAACGGATTTCGGTCAAATTCAGCAGTATTCGAAGAGTAAATCTTCTCCGCTTTCTGCATAAGTTCATTGTACTTCATTTGGTGTTTTTTCCTATATTCATGTCCAAGGAGACATGAAAGTTCCACAAAATGTACCGGCTCAAGAACTGAGTCAAATGCGTCCATTAACTGTTCAACGATGCGAGTATAAATCGTTGGAGGAAGACACTTCTGCAAGTATATACCCTTCTGTGGAAAACTTTCCAAAAAGGTTTTGGAGCACTCCACGATTTTTTCATCCTTTTCCTTCCTTTTCTGAGCATAGATGTGTAAAAAATACTCGAAATTGTCCCTCAGGATCGCTGTCCGCGCCGGACCTCAGCTCCTCAAAGTCTGATATTTCATCGAGCGAATCATTCCACTCCAAGGAAATCGTGGAATCAACCTCCCAATATAGATTATCGGTATCATCTTTTAAGATAAAACCTTTCCCGTGGATAAGAAAATCGCCCTCATCGATAAATCTCACCTCCACGCGCGACGTCATTTTATTCTCACATCTTTTCTTGGATGATGACTCTTGACATCACCGATTAAAGTTTGCGGACCTCTCGGAAAACCAACTTCCGATAAATGCAAGGGTCTAAATAACTTTAGTGAAATTCACATCTCCCAAGGGCCTGTCTGGGCGTTTCCGTCTCTGACCCAATTATGGCTCTTGCCAGTACATATTGGCATTGTTCGCGAGGCATGAAATGAAGTGAACACAGGCCAATTTTTCTCCTCCTTCTAAAAGGTCGGGATAATTTTCTTGACCAATCTTCCTTGAATAGGAATGAATGAGTGGATGCATCTGATACCTTCGGGGGATTGGCTGCTCAATAAGTGAAATTTTCTTCAGGGAGCGAATAATCTTGATTGGCCGAAATCCAGGGATAGAGCTCGCTTTCATTTCAGCTTCGGCAGCGACTGAGCTAAGCGAACCTTGAAAAGTGGACATAAGAACAAAGGCTTCTTGTTCAGCTTCTGTCAGAAGATCAAAAGACGCTTTGATTGCATTTTCAACAGATCTTTGATCGTCCTCGAGGACAGCCAGTGGTTCTCTCTCCAGGTTTATGATGAGTGTTTCTTCTGTGAAATCTGAGAGTAGTGATCCAACGACGCACAGTGCCAGGGGAACACAGCCACATAATGTGACAAGTTGCTCTGCTTTGCAAAGCTCATGGTGTGCATCATGTTTGTAAGAGCGAACCCGAGAAACAAGCAGATTTATGACTTGATATTTTGACAACGGGGGGTAGCCTAGCTTCTTTTGACAACAACTCGGGATTTTCAAATGTTGATCTCGCAGTAATTACAAATGTAACATTTCGTCGCGACAACTTCCTTACATCACGTAAGATTTTGAGAATTAAATGTTTCTCGATCGTGACACTCAAGAACACCGTCTGCATTGTCTACAACAAAATTTACCTGGTTGTGGATCTGTTTGCTCCAGTCTTTAAGCCACTGTCCCGGATTCTCTGGTACTTGCGTGTTGACCACTTTACTACACGAATTAAACATTTCCATTGTCACCTCGTTGAACGTCTTCTTCGATAATAAGCTACAAAAGAAAACGGCTCGTCGATCTTTAGCTAATTCACAAGCCACTCGCTTGGCTACGGTGGTCTTTCCGAATCCCGGACCGCCAGTGATCTGAATTACAGGAAACTTTCCACTTTGAAGTTTATTTTTGATGTCTTGTATTTGCTCACCACGGCCAATAATCTCTTCTTAAGACAAATGGAGAGTTCAGCGTCTCTTCCACTCTTCTCTAGTTCTTTCTCTTTCCTCCATTGTTTCAGTTCCTCTTCCAACAACCGAGCTTTATGATCAATAATAGCACTCTTCAGGAACTGAAGTTTTTTCCGATGGGCGGCTACCTCAAGCACTTCTAAAGACGAAGATATTTTTTTCCACTTGTCATCGAATTCGTCATTCGGAACTCCAGTAGAATCACTATGACACA